GTTAGAAACACTTATGAGTTAGAAAAGCAATCGATAGTGCTTTTTATGAGTAGATGCTTCGTTGAAAATAGCATTTCAAATACTTGTAAAAAAGTACCTAGGATTTTATTAAAACATTCAATGTGGTTGTAATAGAAGTTCTTCCAATCGAGTTCCAATCAGAAGTGGTTATGAGCATAACCGATGTTCAGAAAAACATTTTCAAACAAGACCTAAACCTAGCAGCAACATGCATCCCACGTCCTATATATATAGGCCTGTCCATTTATTTGCACAATTATATGTGTAACTTCCTTTTCATCTATCAAAGCTTTGTGTGAGCATATATAGCTAGCTTTATACTACATGATCATGATAGGATAATAATTAAAAGAATGATTAAGAAAGATTTTGATATGTGTGCGAACGTAGGTTGCCAGGGAAAGCATACGCAAGGAGGCAGCATGTATGGCTCACCGGTGCAAACGAGGTCGATAGCAAAACCTTTTCCAGAGCTATTTTGGCAAAGGTACCATCTGTACACTAAACAAAGCCAACCTCTATCTTCCTTTGTGCAGCTTTATAAATACAACATGCTCTGTAAAACTCAATAAACTAGACGGCCTCCAACGCTACTTAATTAGGGATTAATTCCACACCCTATATATGTCTTGTTTTTGTTGTCATGTTTCCTAAATTACTAGAGTTTGGTAAAAGTAAGCCATCCAGATTAGCCTAATGGTGAGTGTGAGCATGTATGGTGATGAGTACGAGTATGCTAGGTTCAGAGTTTGTAACCCTCTAATGTAACCAAAAAGAAGTTTGGCATAAGTAGGTAATAATTATGTCAGAATAATGTGTCATTCCCATGTACTTTATTTTGAATTTGATGCCACTTAGTATTACGGTATAGTGGTATTCCTCTTATACTTGTAAGTGAAAGGTCTTAGGTTTGATTCTCGTCAAAGGAAAATTTAAATCACATTATTAATTCCTAGTCCATCGTGAGGTTAAGTCAATCCCCTCTCCTTTCATGCAGATAATATCATTTGTCAAAAAAAAAAAAAAATATATATATATATATATATATATATATCAAATTCGATTATTGTAAATTAACGTAGTTTAGGATGTCGTGCTTGAAAATGAAAACTAAGTACCATAATGCTGCCTTTCCATATAGGATTTATAGAGATTATGTTTTCACGTATTATGCACTACTAAATTGTATTTCTTTGCATGACTCTACAGAGTGCTCGTATACAGACCGTGGTGTGCATTCCTCTTCTAGATGGCGTCGTAGAATTTGGCACCACAGAGAGGGTATGTAACACTTTTTGTTTGGTCATATTAAAAGGTGGGGAGTAATGTCAAAGAAACTAAATTGTAGACAAAAAAATTATAAATTAAATGACTTGAAAATTGATAATTATTACTATTTAACTGATTATTTCTTATTGGGGTGACATCATTTAGGTTATAAATTTTGTCTTCCTACCATTTGCCCTACCATTAGTCTAAGGTCAATTATTTATGCATGTTTAATTTTTATTAATTATTTTATTATTGTACGTATTAATTTAATGTAGGTTCCAGAAGACCACGCCTTCGTCGAACACGTCAAAACCTTCTTCGTTGACCACCACCACCCTCCGCCACCAAAACCCGCCCTCTCCGAGCACTCCACATCCAACCCCGCCGCCTCATCCGATCACCCACATTTCCACTCTCCGCACCTTCTCCAGGCCATGTGCACCAACCCTCCTCTCAACGCCGCCCAAGAAGACGAAGAGGACGAAGAAGAAGATGATAATCAGGAGGAGGACGACGGAGGAGCCGAGTCCGACTCCGAAGCCGAAACGGGCCGCAATGGTGGAGCCGTTGTTCCCGCCGCAAACCCTCCTCAGGTTTTGGCCGCGGTAGCCGAGCCAAGCGAGCTCATGCAACTCGAGATGTCCGAAGACATCCGGCTAGGCTCCCCGGACGATGCCTCAAATAACTTGGACTCTGATTTCCACTTGTTAGCTGTGAGTCAGTCTAGGAACCCAGCGGATCAGCAGAGACAAGCTGACTCGTATCGAGCCGAGTCGACCAGGCGGCGTCCGTCAGTACAAGAGCCGCTGAGCAGTGGCCTTCAACCGCCGCACACAGGTACTACAAAACTTGGTAATTAATTGGTATACTCTTCTTTTGTTTTTATTTTTTTTTCAATTCTTAATCTTATAAATTAAAATTTAAAATCAATAATATTATAGATATTGGTTTCCTTAAAAATGCGAGCTAGATATGTTGATTATACAATATGGTTTCATAACTTCAAGGTTTTCTATGCACATGGCCATGGCGCTTTTATTTATACACCGTCAACAGTGTTCATTCTAAATACATATTTATTTTAAAATATATAAATACCTAAACACCATCAAATTGTATTATTACGCTTTTTTTTTTTTGTTAATATAGTAAATTAAACATATCAATCTCATGATACATATCCTATTGTATACAGTAAATAAATAATAATATTATGTAGCAGCATGGAGAGGAGAAATTTTAAGTAGACTCACTCAAGATGAGACTCTCGGTCACTTTACAGTTTAACGTTAATTTTCTTATCAATATTATAAAATTTTATATCAAATATATAATTAGCAAGGCATAGAATTTACCAAGAATTCTAACTCTTCTTAGCATTTGTCTTCAGAGAAATTAATGTCTCCTAACTTGTAGTCTCGCAGTTGTCATATCAACATGTACATTTTTTCCTTCTTGAAATTAGCAAGGCAGATTATTATTTGCTTATTTTTGTCTTGGTGTAAACTGCAACGTAGGGTTTCTTTTCTTATTACTTGGAGTTGGAGATGGGTCAACTTCTCAAACGTGTAGGTCCTACTTTTCCCGTCCAAAACTGAGCTTTCCACTTGCTGCAGCGATCCCTGAAAACATCATCGCTTCTCGGGATTCTACTAGATGGTTTGAAAAAGATAAAACCCTAATTCAAAAGTACAACCTGCATGCATGGTTTTCGTGCCACGCGAAAAACCTGGCCAATTTGTTCGTTAGATTTCATATTATATCTTGATGATTAGCTACTTTTCCACTAACCTTCGTAAAGTTCAATGCTAATTGTTGAATTAAGTATTTCTTGATCAAGCTTTTCCTAATCATTATTATAATTTGTAACTAATTGTTACAGTATTTTCTTGACCAAATTATTGCAACCTAATTTGTTTGGTGTGTTTATGCAGGACCCCTAGCTTTAGAGGAGTTGACACATGATGACGACACACATTACTCGGAGACAGTCTCCACCATACTGCAGGGACAGGTGACTCAGTTGATGGATTCATCGTCCACCGACTACACAGCTTGCTTGACTCAATCAGCTTTCGCCAAGTGGTCGAGCCGGGTTGATCACCACTTCCTCATGCCGGTTGAAGGCACGTCCCAATGGCTCTTGAAATATATTTTGTTTAGTGTACCGTTCCTCCACTCAAAATATCGCGACGAGAACTCGCCAAAATTTCAGGAGGGCGAAGGCTCGACACGGTTGAGGAAAGGGACCCCACAAGACGAGCTCAGTGCTAATCATGTGTTAGCGGAACGACGTCGTAGAGAGAAGCTTAATGAGAGGTTTATTATACTAAGGTCCCTGGTGCCTTTTGTGACAAAAATGGACAAGGCTTCGATATTAGGAGACACAATCGAGTATGTAAAGCAACTGCGTAACAAAATTCAGGATCTCGAGGCACGTAACATGCTGGTGGAGGAAGATCAACGGTCAAGATCATCCGGGGAAATGCAAAGGTCCAATAGTTGTAAAGAGTTGCGAAGTGGGCTCACGCTAGTGGAGCGGACCCAAGGAGGTCCACCCGGGTCCGATAAAAGGAAGTTGAGGATTGTGGAGGGAAGTGGCGGTGTCGCCATTGGTAAGGCTAAAGTAATGGAGGACTCACCGCCTTCACCACCCCCGCCACCACCTCAGCCAGAACCTTTACCGACACCTATGGTGACGGGGACTTCTCTAGAGGTGTCGATAATCGAGAGTGATGGGTTGTTGGAGCTCCAGTGCCCGTATAGAGAAGGGTTATTGCTTGATGTGATGCGAACACTTAGGGAGCTAAGAATTGAGACCACGGTGGTCCAGTCCTCATTGAATAACGGATTTTTCGTAGCTGAACTAAGAGCCAAGGTACATAATTTAGATAGTGTATCACCATGCAATATTAGTTAATGAGAATTATTTTTTTCTTATTTTTTTTACATTTTGAATTATTTTTTCAGGTGAAGGATAACGTCAGTGGCAAGAAAGTAAGTATAACGGAAGTGAAGAGGGTGATAAATCAAATTATACCCCAATCTGACTCTTAATATGTTATTAGTTGTGTCGAAATCTGCAGGATCATTTAGGGTTTGTGTACGTAATTAAAGAATTTTGAAGGAGGAAAATGTGGAAACCAAAATAATTCTGATTCCATATTTCCAAGTAGCTCTAGCTAGCAAGCATCATCAGTACTACTTGCTGTACATTGTACCATATTAAGTAGAACATTTTTTTTTTCTTTTTTCTAATTTATGTTTATTGTTTATTCTCCTGTAATGTAATCTAACACGGTATTGTTTATGAGACATTCAGCATAATCTAAAACGAGCTCCAAAATTATTCTATCTTACATGTTTTGGTGTCATTGCATAGTCTTTTGAATTACATTCGTCATCAAACTATAGTCATCTTATGCATTAAATGTGCTTAATTCTAGCAGGGGGCATGTAATTCAGTTGATTAAGAATATTTTCCCTTGCACTCGAGGTCCTGAGTTTGAATTCCCCTTCCCCTAATGAAATGGTCTAAAATCAAAGCTACGACCAACACTAAAATAACGTCATCCTACATCTTTTCAAGAACATCATTACACGAGGAGTGAATGATTGTCTTGGAGTGCCGATAATAGCATCCATCTAAAATCTCCGTAAGTTATGCAAAAGGAAAATTCATTGGGGAACCAATCAGCAGAGAGAAATGAGGATAATTAGACAGAACTTTTATAAATTCATGGGGATGGTAAAAATCTAATAACGAGTCAAAACTGAGGTTCAAAGACAAAACTACAAGCCAAAAACCCACAAGACTGAATTTGTACAGCATGTTTCAGTCCTGAAACCCGGAAATTGAATTTGAGCGAAATTTTTATCGTAATCCTGGGCCATGCTCCGGTAAGTAAATGCTCAGATCACCGAAAACAAAGTGTCCTACGCAGCCAAACCCCTCTGTGTAGGACTGATAATTAGCTAATGAAGAACCAATAGCCCACAAACCGCGACACTCACTTTGCTTTCAGGCAGAGTCCTTAACACAGCAAACCATTAGCAATGCTTTCACCCGTCTTCTATATGTCTTCTTGGGATAAAAGGGTTTTCTTACCGCTGCCGCCACCAACCTTGTCATATGGTTGAGCCATCTTCCTAAGGAACTGTTTTCAAGATAAGAGAAGATTAACATGCTAGAATACCAAAAGGTAAATCGCAAGTGAGCCAAGAGCTTTAACAAGATGAAAGTTCGATTTTATCATCATGACACTGGGTGATTCTGGCAAAAAAATAAAGTAAATGCTAAGGTACTTTCAGATGTTTTTCTGACTTAGTTGAAGAAGTAGCAATCAAACTTCATCAGACCAAAAAATTGTGTTTCAATGCTTCGGTTTTGATCCTTCTAGTTTATTCTCTTTGGATCTCGAAATCATCTAGCACAGATGTAAAGGGATGGGGATAGAAGTATGGAACCTAATTATTTACTAGGTCACAACAGACTAGTAAAATGGTTGATAAATGACTCGCAAGTAAAACCACAAATACAAAGTACAATAGATATGCTTATTTCAGGCAAATCAATGACCATACTAAGATAGTGGAAATATGTGATAACAAATACGGACAAACCTCTCGTGCTATATGCAGAGCCATGTCCGTGCTCAAGTTCAGATGTGCATCACGTAAATGCGACAGTATCCATCCAGGCAATTTGGATCGCTTGTCATGACGGCTACATCTGAAGTTGAAGTTAAGCACCCAAAAATCAGTGCCTAAATTTTAACTAGACCTTCCAGTTGTGAATTCACGATTTTGGAATTCAATTGATAAAACAAAAAAACACAAACCTTTTGTCAGCAAAAATCTTCATGCCATAGTCCGCTTTTGACCGGATGACTCGGCCTACACATTGAGCTGCTTGTCTCTGCACCATACAGAACCCAAAAAGTTCAGAAAACATGTCTTAAAAAACAAACAAATATTTCTTAGATGATACGAAAGGCACTGCAGTGATACCAAGGCATCAAATGTCAAAAAGTCTCCCTCCTTTATTTGAAAGGTATCCCGCAAGTATTCCAGCTGTGCAAGCAAAATCCTGTGAGAAAAAATACGTCAAGCCCCCAGACGTAGCATTTGTTTCAGTTCAACAAAACCCCCAAACACAAAACTTTAAAACATGCAGAAAATTTGATTCGAAATTCCCTTTTTCACTTAATAAAACAAAAGAGATTTAACAAAAAAATGAACTCACTTGCTTAATGTGTACTGGAAAGGAATGCCAAACATGATCACCAATCGTCCATAATATCGATCAAAGTCTATTCCTTCAGCTACTTTTCCTCTGTGAAAGTACAGACATAATGTTACTCATTACAGAAACTGTGTCGCGCATCAATTGTAATATTGAAAGGTCTGAATTGCGTGTGGCAAGAAACAATGGATAGCTTTCTAAATATGACAGCGTACACAAACAGCAAAAGGGTACTCCATCTTTTTGCACTCCCACATTTTTATTTTAATTGCATAGTTTGAGAATACATTATCCTCATTCTGTTCCGGATTGTAATCTCTAACAAAAAATATAGCTCCATGAGCAAAAGCCCCTGTCATGATGAATCCTGCAATGTATTGGTGATGAGTATATAACGCAGCTTGAGGAATTTTGGGTTTTTATTGGATAACAGGTAGTTTCAAATTTCAGGATTTGTTTGAAATATAATAATAAGAAATTCTGAATTTTTATAAAACCTGGCAACAGACAAGAAGACAGCACCCCTCCCACAGTCACAAGCCTTACGGTAATTGTCAGGAGCCAAAGTAGTCTCTACCACATCTTGGGTCTCGATGAAAACAAGCTTATGCTGCATTATTTCCTGTGGCAATAATGGGAGCAGTAAGCACCTTTCTGAAAAACTAACTTCATCGAAAACTTGGAGAAGAGGACAAAGGAAAAGTCCATAGATACCCAGGAAAAGCAAGAGACATAGATAGTGGAGTTACCTTCAAAATTCCATTTTCATTCCAGCTATTGACTATCATATCCATATAAGAGTAACTGACGAAAAAACATACAACCCCATCTGGAACAGCAGAAACCATCTCCAGCAGCAACCTCCCATAGTTCCTTACCACGCCAAGATCACTTCTCATATCATATTTGGTACTTACTGGAACCTGATCACTGAAATAACATACGTGAGCAACTTTTAGATACAACCTAATATGAGTAAGTGCTAAATATAATAGGCAATTTATGATCTGATAAGAACAATATGATTAGTAAAGTACTCAAGTTTACAACTCCCCTACTAGAATGAATCAAGAGAAATGAAATGTAAGCACAAAAAACACTTTTCTGATGTTATACCTTCCACGGGTGAGAACCATTGGGCATATGCAATCTCTTGTTAATGACATAGTAAAACTTCGACTGATGACAGGATGGAAATTAAGAAGATGGGGGTAGAGATCAATTGGGCTCAAGGTTCCAGATGTAATCACAACTGATTGAAATCGATCAAATACAGGCTTTATGGCAAGTGAAGCATCATGACAGCAAAGCTGGAATACCAAATATGAAAAGACTAGATTATAACTGAATAAGTCTTCAGTCCATCCATTACCGAAGCAATATAAGTAGATCAAGTAAAGGCAGACAGACTCATAATAGTAAATATGCAAGGAAACATATTGCAGGAAGATTTTATAAAACCATCGCATCATTAGTTTCATTAGAGTGGACATAAAATTTTATAAATTGTTGAAAGTGGTGTAAAATATTTTTTGTTTTTAACCAATTTTTCAATTTTCAGAAATCATTCAATGTTCATTTTATTAAAAAAAAAGTAATTTGAAAAGAATGAATAACACAAAACTAACCTGTAAAACAGGATCAGGAATGTGTGGCATTCTCTCATCAAATGGTTAAATTATCATAGAGAATCCACGAGTGTATGTCCCCACAAGTGTCGTAAAGTCGCAAATCGTTTGAATGTGTAAGAGTTCATCTGTGTCAGTAATTTCTAACGTCATCATTAGTGAGTGTAGGCGATCATAACAAAACTTAAGAGTTTTCTGGTCAATTCCAGCTTGTGAACTGATAGTGGCAACAATACTAACCGGGCCCTCCTTCTCAACATTCTCGGTTTCAAGACGGACTTCCAGATGATTGACCAATCTTCGTAACACATGCACAAAATGGTCCGCTTTACGAATATTTCCAGGCACAGCCTCCTTCAAAATATCATCAGGTAGAGCAGATTTTTAAGCCAAGTATCCGTGACTCCATACACAGAAGAAATAATAAGTTATGAGAACTTGGGACAAAATCAAGGGAATGAGCAATCAACATACTAGGTAGGTTTCCTCCTTGTGCCAAACCCTCAACTAGCCGGTTGTATTCTTTAAGCAATCTATCTGCATCATGTCAAGCAAATGAATGAAAATCTGTATTAAATGTAAGGGCACTAACTAAGAAAGCTCGAAACAAGCCTATCTCGAAATAATCTTAGCCAGTTTTTAAACAAACCATGATTGAATATAAAGAGACAGATAAATGAAGCACCTACCTTTCAATTTCATGCTGCATCTTACTAATTCCTCCTGGCACCCTCAATTGTCTGCCTCCTCGCACTAGCACTAAACGCTTCAATACACACATTATCGATAATATGAGCCGCATCAAACACAACAACAGACTCCTTTTGCATTTCCTTGGAAATAATCCCAGCCACTTTGGGATCAAGCATGTACTGATAACTATAAACCACCATCTCTGCTTCCCATACGCCCTCAAATCCTAATTTTTCACACAAAACAAACCAACCCAATTGCAATCACTCCAATCCGGATCGAAAACATAAACAAAGAAACAAAATTTTCAAAACCAAATTCAAAGAAACAAAATTTATCAAAAACCCAATTGAGCAATACTTGCAATGTATAAACCCCAGGAGGCAAAACAGCTCCAGACCCAGCTTTCTCATACTCCTCATAAAACTCACAAGTTGGCACATTTGGGTTTTCCGCCGCCAAGTTCCTGACCCAGCTGGCAGTCAATTTCCAGCAAGCCGCATCCACAGAATCCCGATTCTCCGCCGCCAACACTGTCGAATTAACACAAAGATTCTTCCTCGATGAAAGACCGACCGCCAAGATCTGGGCCTGCGGACCCAGATGCTTGACCTGGTAATTGTGGAGGAGCTTGAGCTCGGCGAGCGTCTTCTCCATCTCGTGAACCGTGCGGGTGCAGTAGATTAGCTTGACGGGGTTTTGGGGTTTGGAGAGAGTGTAGGAGGCGATGAGAGAGAGGAGGGCGATGGTTTGCCAGTGCCGGTGGGCATCTCGGGGAGGCAATGGCCCTTGGCGTCGAGGGCGCGCTTGAGCTCGAGCACGTAGGTGTATTGCTCCGGGTATAAGTGGTCGTACGGGAAGTAGACCGTCACGTCTTCGACCTGGAACTTCATGGTTTTAGTGAGGTTTTGGGTTTTGGCACTGACTGAGACCGAGAGGGACGGTGGCTATGGTTTTTATGTAGACGTTGGGTTAGAAGTTGGTTTGTAGCCCCTTGTAACTGTATAGAGTGAGAATGCTAAAGTTCGATTCTTAATAAAGACGAATTTAAATTAAAGTTGAGTCTAAGCCCACTTCAACTTGTTAGCGTAGACAATATCATCTGTTCATAAAATATAAAACAAGTCGAATTGTAAGATGGGCTTCAATCTATATCTTTTATGAACTCTTTCAATAGTCAATGTAAGTTCAAATAATGTAAATGATATATATGTAATGAGTATACTATCACCGTGGTCTTAAGCTTGTGTAACACGTACCATTGTTTATTAACTCGAGATGTGACAATCAAGGTGTATCTGTTTCATGTCAGCCACTCTCCAAAGTTGGGGCTTTTTCATGGCAGAGTGAGTGGACGAGATTACAATTCGGCCAAGTTTCTAGAGAATGACTAACTACAAACGAGATTGCCAAGGTGACGGAATCGTGAATCAATTGTACAATGCAATATGAAAATCTAAAACATGTGCAACGTGTTCTTCGGCCGGGATGTCACGGTGGTGTCTCGGGATGTAGACAAGTCCTCAAAGTTTTTGGTTCAGACCCTGACTTAGAGCGTCAACCAAAACTAAACGGAAAGAGAGAAAAAACAGACTCGAGGGTTTTCTTTTATAAAACGGGCATCCTTTGTATTTCTTTGAATGCAATCCCAAGAACTTCAACGCAATACTAAACGCTCTTAATTAACTTGAGTTACAAGCTACTCACTACTTATATGATAAAAAACCAAGAGTTACCATTACCATAAGTTTCTTTAACTACATGTTAGAAACAAGGTTGCTAATCAAGTTACATTATACAGTCAAGGTTTGAGAGAATCTAAAACACAATGTTTCGAACCGCATAGTATGCACAATTCAGTCTACCATGGATTCGAGGCCGGAATGGCTAAACTTGACCGGTTTGGAACTGGCGAATACCACTGGTTTGCACAACGACCATGTTGGGGGCTATTCTCCATCGGTTGGTGTGTTACATTCGAGGCCCTTGATTACATGCCGGCATTGAAACCTGTAACATCAAACAAGAAACAGCACAAAACTCAAACACATTCAAATACATGAACTGCAGAAGTACAAGGAAAAAAAGCGAAGATTACAGCACCAAAACTTGCCTATCCCGGGGTGTATACCCCTTGTTCGGTTGTTCCTATAGCACACGTAACGTGACTACATAGCGTGATGTGTGTTATGGGAACAAAAGGGGATATGGCCCTCAGGGATTGGCAAATATTTGACATTTGAGGGTGTTCAAAGCCTTTTTTTTCGCAGACCGGCGTACCATATAAAATCATTTGGAGTAGACTCAACCACACCATCAGAGCTGCCAGTTTGAGAAGAAGCATCCGTTTTCGGATCATGGGTTTTGCTCTTGATCTTTAGTTTCAGAGGCACAATCTGCAATTAAGAAAATGCACGAGTGAGTTGTAAGCTAATTGGTAGATAATGGAAGCTGAATTGTTAATAGCAAACGACCTTGTTGCTGTATCGGAAATCACGCTTTGGAAGAAAATGGAGAGGCAGATTGAAAGAAACCGGAGCCTTCACCAGCAGAAACAGCTTGGAAGGCCCTGAATAAGCAGCACACCCAGCACCCTTTGCAATCAGCCCCCGAATGGCTTTTCTACAAAGCACTTCCGACGCCCTGCTTTTCGCAAAGTCAAGTTCGGAAACAGCAGTTCCGCTCGAAAAACTCAGCTCATAGACGTGCTGAGGTCGGAGCGGACTCCCTCCGACTATCAGAATCGCGTCTCGGAACTCATGAACCTCGCTGATCATCTGCTTCAGAGCAGTTTGGAGGTCGGAAACCTGACGCATCAGCTTTTCGAATCTCCGAATCCCGCGCTTCGCCTCCCGCATTTCGCCGGCGTGCTTCCTCCGGAGCGACGGCTTCACCTCGTTTTGCTGAACCGCCATTTCCTGAAAATTCACAGATTCACATTCAGGGCAAAGCATTCGAATTCGGATCCAAAAAAAACGCAAAATTCACGAGATTTAAAGTCTCCTACCAAATCCTTGTACTCAGAACAGAGCGAATCGAATTCCAGAGTGATATCCTGCAACATTCTGTGCAGGAAATTGGGGATTTTCAGAAGAAAAAAAAAAGGATCGAAATGATTAGGGATTTGGGAAATTGGGGGGAAGTACTTACGCAGGGATTTGCTGGTGCATGTAAAGCACGAAACCGGAGATTTCGTTAATGGCGTGGAAGATCACAGAGCCGTCCAGAGTCGGCGGCGATCTCCATCTCTCCGATCCCCGAGAGAGCCAAGACGAACTACCCGAAATTTCAAATGGAATCGGGTACCATACGGCCCAGAAGAAGATGACACGGGTCGAGTCACATAAACCCGTATCCAGTTGCTACGTTGGCGGCAAATATTTTTAAAAGTTTTGTGGTCATATATTTGTGTGGACCAATGTGAAAAATATTTTTGGGATAAAATTGAAGTTATCTACGCATTTTTTTTTTTTTATACATCTCGTTCAATTTTCGGTCGTTTAATCGAATGAATTGAAAATATCAAAAATATAAATTAACAAAAAATAAGTTTTTGTCTAAAGAAATGCCTTGAGAAAGAGCGAATGTATAAAACCTTTCAACGAGATAATCATTTTTCAACTCTCTCAAAAAGATGATTAGTAAAATACTAAAACATAAAATTATATATTTTTCTTTTGTATATAATACCATACATATTACGTGTTATTTTTTATGTTTTATCACAAGTAGTTTGGTTCGGTTAACCTACGATTTGTGAAAATCAAAAGCCAATACTAAACCGGGTATTTTCAATTTGGTTCAGTTTTATAGACCAAATAAAAAGAAAATCAAACCAATTCACCCCTACTTTTGATCTACCGATTAAATAAATCAAACGAAAAAAACGACAAAATTAAACAGGTGTGATGGGAGAAAAAGAACCTAGTTACCATTCGACACAGAAGAACATCACAAGATACAAACCAGTGTCTATATATACAAAACATGGGGTATCTTATATCAGCGATACAAACCGGTACTGGTCTACAGTGCACTCAACTAAACCGCCATCGACGCATTTCCATTTGATGCAGAAACCATGCCGGCTATAAGTCTTCGCTTCGTAGCGAAGGAATGAAGCATTAGATGCTACTCTAAGCCAGGACTACGTACCACTTACACCATATTGTGATGCCGATAACCATTTCTGGTTTCTGCTGGAGGTGTTTCATCAGTCCAAGGATTCCAACGCTGCCAAATTGAAGGGAGAGAAAAAGTTGTCACTAGTGTCACCTTCTACGCAGAAATTCTTTATCGGTTTTTGGGTGATAGGAGACCATCACCTGAAGACGAGAAGGCACAGCCTATTTGGGAGTTATACACCATACCGGCTTAAGGCTTTGCTTAAACTCGGCATTACATTATATGCCTGATATGATCTTCTAAGTTCAATAATAGAACCCACCTGCACAATCAATAGTCAGAACTACTTGCAAGAGTTGCGTAAAATATAACGCGCTAGTGCAAACCCTTCAACACAGTAGACTTTAGTACATCAGGTATGGTTTTGGGGAGAGAAACGAGGATGGGGAAGCTATCTTGGATTTTGCAATGGCATATGATCTCTTCTTAGCCAACACCTTCTTTAAGAAGAGAGAAGAACATGTGATCACCTACAAGAGTGGGTCGTCAAAAACACAAATAGATTTTCTTCTAATGAGGAAAGGGGATCGTATAACTTGTAAGGATTGCAAAGTTATACCAGGAGAGAGCGTGGCTAATCAACATCGCTTGTTGGTGATGGATGTACATATCAAAAGAGTAAGACAAAAGAACAAGACTTGGAAGTGCCCAAGAACTAGATGGTGGAATCTAAAAGAACAAAAACAAGCCATTTTCAAAGAGAAGGTAATCACCCAATGTGTGTGGGATAGAGAGGGGGAAGCTAGCCAAATGTGGGATTCCATGGCTAGTTGTATCCGAAAAGTAGCAAAAGAGGTATTAGGAGAGTCCAAGGGCTTTGCCCCACACCAAAAGGAATCTTGGTGGTGGAATGAGGAGGTACAAACAAAGGTGAAGGCTAAGAAGGAATGTTGTAAAGCCTTATACAAGGAGAGGACCGATGAAAATGGTGAAAGGTATAGAAAAGCGAAGCAAGAGGCGAAGAAAGCTGTCAGAGAAGCTAAGTTAGCGGCTTACGACGATATGTATAAACGACTAGATACCAAAGAAGGAGAGTTGGATATCTATAAACTAGCTAGAGCAAGGGAAAAGAAGACAAGGGACCTAAACCAAGTGAGGTGCATCAAGGATGAGGATGGAAAGGTTCTTGCTACAGAGAACGCGGTTAAAGACAGATGGAGAGGTTATTTTCATAATCTTTTCAATGAAGGACATGAAAGGAGTGCTTCTTTAGGGGAGTTGAGTAACTCAGAAGAGTGTAGAAACTACTACTCTTTTTATCGTCGAATCCGGAAGGAAGAAGTGGTTGTAGCTTTGAAGAAGATGAAGCATAGAAAAGCAATAGGCCCAGACGATATACCAATCGAAGTGTGGAAAGTTTTGGGAGAGACAGGTATAACATGGCTCACTGACCTTTTCAATAGGATTTTGAAAACGAAGAAGATGCCAAATGAGTGGCGAACGAGCACTTTGGTGCCTATCTACAAGAATAAGGGCGACGTACAAAATTGCATGAACTATAGGGGTATTAAGCTAATGAGTCATACAATGAAGCTCTGGGAGAGAGTCATTGAGCATAGATTGAGGCAAGAGACACGGGTTTCGGACAACCAATTCGGGTTCATGCCAGGGCGCTCAACCATGGAGGCAATCTATCTCTTACGAAGATTGATGGAAAGATATATAGAGATGGGAAAAAGGATTTACACATGGTCTTTATAGATTTGGAAAAAGCGTATGATAGGGTCCCAAGAGACATTCTTTGGAGGATTTTAGAGAAGAAAGGAGTACGAGTAGCATATATCCAAGCTATAAAGGATATGTATGAAGGAGCAAAGACTGCCGTAAGAACTCATGAAGGACAAACCGAAAGCTTTCCCATAACTGTAGGATTACATCAAGGCTCATCCTTAAGTCCTTACCTTTTTGCGTTGGTAATGGATGAGTTAACAGGACATATTCAAGATGATATTCCTTGGTGTATGCTTTTCGCAGACGATATAGTGTTGATAGATGAAACTCAGGAAGGGGTAAATGCAAAGCTTAACCTTTGGAGAGAAGTGTTGGAATCTAAAGGTCTTCGCCTAAGCCGATCAAAGACAGAATATATGGAGTGCAAGTTCAGTGCAAATGGAAGCCAAAACGAGTTAGGGGTGAGGATCGGAGATCAAGAAATACCAAAGAGCGACCGTTTTCGTTACCTAGGATCTATCTTGCAAAAGAACGGAGAATTAGATGGAGATCTCAACCATAGAATACAAGCTGGATGGATGAAGTGGAAGAGTGCATCCGGCGTGTTGTGTGACCGCCGTATGCCACTGAAGCTCAAGGGAAAATTTTATAGGACGGCAATAAGGCCGGCGATGCTGTATGGCACAGAATGTTGGGCGGTGAAACATCAACACGTACACAAAATGGGTGTAGCGGAGATGAGGATGCTTCGTTGGATGTGTGGGCACACGAGAAAGGATAAGATTAGGAATGAGGATATCCGGGGTAAAGTAGGAGTAGCCGAAATTGAAGGAAAGATGAGAGAAAATCGGTTACGGTGGTTTGGACATGTGCAAAGAAGGCCTACTGACGCTCCGATTAGAAGATGCGACTATGGGACAGAGGTTCAGGGCCGAAGGGGTAGAGGAAGACCTAGGAAAACTTTGGAAGAGACTCTAAGAAAAGACTTAGAGTACTTGGATCTAACGAAGGACATGACACAGGATCGAGCACAATGGCGTTCTAAGATTCATATAGCCGATCCCCACTCAGTGACTTGGATTTTCCAAGTCTCCAACCAAGAAGTTTTCCTCACTCGGGAAATTAAAGGGAACACTACCCCAACCTACATGCTCCACTCAGAAAGCTTCAACATACAAGCTTCAACAAAAGAAAATTCAAAGAACTTAGCGAAGAAGGCTTTGGTGTATTTAACACAATACGTTGAAATGAAGGAAAGCTTATTTATTGATATCCCCGATAAGCTACAAATATGTACATATACATGAGTCAAAAATAAACACACAAGAGGGAGCCTTCACAAAGGTTGCTTAGGAGAAGTCTCAGCAGTCGATAGAGCCCCAGAAAGAGAAGGCACCGGAGGGGGATCATTTGGAGCCTCAGTACTGGACAGAACCCTAGAAGGAGGAGGCATCAGAGGTTGATCATTTGGAGCTTCATTACGCGGTACAGCCCCAGAAGACGAAGGCAATAAATGCCTTTGGAACAAACCCACAAATCTCTGATGATCAAGTAAAACCTGACCATCAGTTTCCTTCATCTGGTCAAGCTTCCTCTTCATGTTTGTAGCATAGTCATGTGCGAGCCGGTGCAACTGTTTATTCTCATGCTTGAGCCCTCTAATCTCCTGTTTGAGACTCATCACTTCAGCCGCCAATGATTCAACTTGGCGGGTTCGAGCAAATAGGCGTTGGGCCATATTAGACACAGAACCTGCACACTGAACACTGAGAGCCAGCGAATCCTTAACAGCTAACTCATCAGACCGTTTGGAAAGTAGTCTGTTATCTTTGGGAGTGAGAAGGTTCCTGGCCACCACCGCAGCAGTCATATCATTCTTCATCACGGAATCCCCAACGGTAAGAGGACCAGTTGGGGAGACGAAGGATGGGCGCCATATGTTGTCTGGAGAAGGCGGGGCTGCCTCTTCAACAAGGTTCAAGTCAAAACGACGGTCGGAGGGGCCAGACATTTTCAAAGGTGTTGAAGAGAGAAGAGGTCGGACAAATCAAGATCTTAGAAGTGCAAGAATGAAGCTTCTACTGGTGGAGATTCAAGTGTGCTTTGGAACTTAATGCCAGCCTCTATAAAAATCTGCACTCGACGGAGCTTCAGAAATCAAAGAGGCGCCTGCTCAGAAATCGAAGAGGCGTTTGCTTTCTCAAAAGTTGGGGCTGCTTAGAGATCACGAGGGTTGATCTCAGAAATCGAAGAGCCGTTTGCTTTCTCAAAAGTTGGGCTGCTCAAAGACCACGAAGGCTGATCTCAGAAATCGAAGAGGCGCTCGCTTTCTCAAAAGCTGGGCTCCCTAGAGACCACGAGGGCCGATCTCAGAAATCGAAGAGGCACCTACTTTTCCAGCCTTGTCAGCACCTGTCACACGCACACTCAGCTTTGCGGAAATTATGGGCATTCTGTCAAAGACTTCTGGGGAAGTAGAAAACACATGAATCTTACTGTTCAATCACCCACTTCCCACACGCAACAATAGCTCATGGGTACCACAGATAACTTTGCCAAAGTTCTCTGCCAAAGTTGAGCACGTGAAGCTTGCAGCTCCCACTACATCGCTCTGACCAAGAAGGGTAAAAGAATAGCAAAGAAACAGCACTAACAAAGTTTAGACCCATAAATTTTGAAGGTCTAGCTACCATATTATTACCCACAAGGGTAAAGGAACAGTACCACTGCTGGATAATTGGAAAGTCCATGTATGTCAACCTCTGTGCTTCGTGGCAAGGTAGACTAGCAAACATGCCCAACCTTTACTCACATTCGAGAAAACACTCCCAATAAGATTGCTTGCTCCAAAATCGAAGAGGCACCGTCCCCCGAATCTAAAGAGCCAGACTCCCAACATGACTACTTTCTTAAAAATCGAAGAGAGGGTAAAGGAACAGTACCATTGCTGGATAATTGGAAAGTCCCTGTGTGTCAACCTCTGTGCTTCGTGGCAAGGTAGACTAGCAAACATGCCCAACCTTTACTCACATTCGAGAAAACACTCCCAACAAGATTGCTTGCTCCAAAATCGAAGAGGCACCGCCCTCCGAATCTCGAGAGCCACTCTCCCAACATGATTACTTTCTCAAAAATCGAAGAGACACTGCTCCCCGAATCTCGAGAGCCAGACCCCCAGCATGATTGCTTTCTCAAAAATCGGTGAGGCACCGTTCTCCGAATCAATCGAAGAGGCGCTCGCTTTCTCAAAAGCTGGGCTGCTCAGAGACCACGAGGGCCGATCTCAGAAATCGAAGAGGCATCTACTTTTCTAGCCTTGTCAGCACCTGTCACACGCACACTCAGCTTTGCAGAAATTATGGGCATTCTGTCGAAGACTTCTGGTGAAGTAGAAAGCACATGAATCTTACTGTTCAATCACCCACTTCCCACACGCAACAATAACTCATGGGTACCACAGATCACTTTGCCAAAGTTCTCTACCAAAGTTGAGCACGTGAAGCTTGCAGCTCCCACTACATCGCTCTGACCAAGAAAGGTAAAAGAATAGCAAAGAAACAACACTAACAAAGTTTAGACACATAAATTTTGAAGGTCTAGCTACCATATTATTACCCACAAGGGTAAAGGAACAGTACCACTGCTGGATAATTGGAAAGTCCCTGTGTGTCAACCTCTGTGCTTCGTGGCAAGGTAGACTAGCAAACATGCCCAACCTTTACTCACACATTCGAGAAAACAGTCCCAACAAGATTGCTTGCTCCAAAATCGAAGAGGCACCGTCCTCCGAATCTCGAGAGCCAGACTCCCAACATGACTACTTTCTCAAAATCGAAGAGAGGGTAAAGGAACAGTACCATTGCTGGATAATTGGAAAGTCCCTGTGTGTCAACCTTTGTGCTTCGTGGCAAGGTAGACTAGCAAACATGTCCAACCTTTACTCACATTCGAGACAACACTCCCAACAAGATTGCTTGCTCCAAAATCGAAGAGGCACCGCCTTCCGAATCTCGAGAGCCAGACTCCCAACATGATTACTTCCTCAAAAATCGAAGAGACACTGCTCTCCGAATCTCGAGAGTCAGACCCCCAGCATGATTGCTTTCTCAAAAATCGAAGAGGCATCGTTCTCCGAATCTCGAGAGCCAGATACCACAGACCACTTTTTCAAAGTGCTCTGACAGAGTTAAAACATGTGAAACTGGCAGCTCCCACTACCGTGCGTGCTATGACCAAGCAGGGTAAAGGAATAGCATTACTACTTGTTGTTAGGGAGACTCCTATATATGTCGACCTCCATCCCCAACGGACAGGCAGACCTGCAAAAATGCTCAACCCTTCATCATATCTGAGAGGGCACTCCCAACAAAGCCTTTCGAAATATTCAGCTTTCTTTCCCCCCGATAATACCTCTGCAAACAAGCTATACTAGAGCAAGAATATCTCATATCATCAGGGTTAAAAGCAAGAGTATCCCATATCATGCTTTTTCCCTGTTTTTTCTTTTGGCCTTGTTTTTACCTGCAAGACAAGGAGAAAGAGAGCAATCAGTCAGCACTTGGAATCAAGCTTCCAGCCAGGAACTGACTGCCTGGAACCCCTTACCTGATTACTTACCTGGCTTTGCTCTCGAGTACTCATCTTCATCATCTTATGTTTCCAGGGAAGATTCCGCATCTGCTTGAGGAACAGATAGGGCAAGTGCGAAGGATACAAGGAAGCATGTGGAGACAAGCGTAACAGCACACGTGCCGATACATCCATTACTCTGTCAAAAGCAAAAGTATCCCATATCAGCAGGGTGGAACGTACTCTAGATTTGATGGACTTGTTTTGACCCTCAAATTCTTCAGTCGGCCTTATACTCTGGAGGAAATCAGAAAACCCTCCAGCTCAGTTCAAGAATAAGCCTGTGGAAAGTTACTTCTTCAAAAGCAAAAGTATCTCATATCATCTCTTCTCATTTTTCTTCTCTTTATCCTTCATGCTGCTGCAAGATGGGGAGAAGGTGAACAATCAGTCGGAGCTCTGATTGCTTACCTTGTCTGTCACCTCTTTCAGCAGACCCCCCTAGCTCGGCGACTTGGGGGACTCCTACTACATGGTTTGTATCGCGCTTGACCAAGCCTGAAACTACAAGTAAGCTTCAAGTGAAATTGATACATTACCTTGTGCATCTCCACCAGTTAAAGATACCACCCCTGGATGGAGGAAGAGTACTTCCAGAGAAGATGCCACATCTACCTATGAGACAGATAAGGCAAGTCAAGACGACACCACACTCCGATACTTAGAAGTTTCGTGATTACGAGATCATTCTCCCACAATATTTTCCTAATGTCATTTGTACTAAATCATTCACTCGTACTCACTAAAGGAGAGCTTGAACCTATGTACTTGTGTAAACCCTTCACAATTAATGAGAACTCTTCTATTCCGTGGACGTAGCCAATCTGGGTGAACCACGTACATCTTGTGTTTGCTTTCCTATCTCTATCCATTTATATACTTATCCACACTAATGACCGGAGCAATCTAGCGAAGATCACAAAAAGCGACCGTTTTCGTTACCTAGGATCTATCTTGCAAGAGAACGGAGAATTAGATGGAGATCTCAACCATAGAATACGAGCTGGATGGAAAGAGTGCATCCGGCGTGTTGTGTGACCGTCGTAGGCCACTGAAGCTCAAGGAAAAATTTTATAGGACGGCAATAAGGCCAGCGATGTTGTATGGCAGAGAATGTTGGGTGGTGAAGCATCAACACGTACACAAAATGGGTGTAGCGGAGATGAGGATGCTTCGTGGGATGTGTGGGCACACGAGAAAGGATAAGATTGGGAATGAGGATATCCGAGGTAAAGTAGGAGTAGCCGAAATTGTAGGAAAGATGAGAGAAAATCGGCTCTGGTGTTTTGGACATGTGCAAAGAAGGTCGACTGACGCTCCGGTTTGAAGATGTGACTACGGGACAGAGGTTCAGGGCCGAAGGGGTAGAGGAAGACCTAGGAAAACTTTGGAAGAGACTCTAAGAAAAGACTTAGAGTACTTTGATCTAACGGAGGGCATGACACAAAACCGAGCGCAATGGCTTTCTAGGATTCATATAGCCGACCCCACTTAGTGGGAAAAGGCTTTGTTGTTGTTGTTGTTGTTGTTGTAGGAAAGCTAGCATCAAAACATATCCCATCAAGTTTATGCAAGAAAAACTTATTAATCAAATAAACACTGTCGGTTTATGGTGTATTTGGGTAAACAAAAGCTGAGGAAAGTAAAGCCGGGTTAGAATCTGTATGTGTATAGTAAACAAATAAAGACCCTAAAGATATTTAACGTCCTCCAACTGTTCATTCAAACCCTCTAACTATCCATTCAAACGCCAGAACTTTTATACAGTTACACTCAGTTAATGATCAGAGGTCGCACTTGGTGCGATGGCAAGTGCCTTCGCCCATGAGCGGTAGGTCTCGGGTTCGAGACTTGGGAGCAGCCTCTCCATAAAATGGGGGTAAGGCTAGCCGACATTCACCTCTCCCAGACCCTGTGTAAAGCGGGAGCCTTGTGCACTGGGTACGACCTTTTTTACTCAGTTAATGATCAACACAAAGGTACACACACAACACAAACGAAAGCATGCTATAGCAGTGGATAAAGTGGCATACTCTGCATTTCATAACTCAGAATTGGTATTGTACTTACTATTATGAGGACTGATGTCAACCCGATTGCAAACCCTGCATTGATATTGCGTAAATAATGGTCGATTATGCTTGATGTTGTTGCCAAGATACTTAACAATAGCCCCCCTGCAGAATTTCCACCACAGGAAAGAAAAAAGCAAGCAAAAACAAATTCAATGGGGGCCAACAACAAAGGAACTAAGTTAATAAACAACAGGAAGACACAATGAAAGGAGAATTATACCCCAGAAACGTGTCGATGCCTGAATCTTTGTGAGGTACTCAATTGTAGCCTTCCCAGGTTTTATGTTTGGTATCCTGGCACCCATCTTATTTAAGTAATCAGCAATTTCCTTGGGCAAGTTGGCCTGGACAAGCATTATTGATTAAAAACACTAGCAAACTTTTTAATAGACGAGATTAACATAATTTCTATTAACATCTAAATGTACAAATATCATTGTTACTATGGACTTTTGAACCACGAATGCTAAACTCCTAAGCCATAATAGACTGTGCTAGCGTTGAAACTACTGATGACCGCATACTATATTTTTCAAATTCAGACATCTAAGCACATGCACAAGTATAGAAACATAAAGACGAGAAATGAATGCACACAAAGAGAGATATAAAAAATGCTTTACAACTATATCCTTATTAGTTGGGTTTTAAATTACTCTTTTGCTGATTACAGCCTGCAGATTGAAGAACGAACAGAAAGCAAGGTGATTCTAGAATGATTATATATAATGTTAAGAGAAAACTTACAATGTCAAATATATTGAATAAGAACACAAAAAATGCATATACTGAATAGTACACCCAGGGCCCTGCCCCAATGGTATTTTCGGGGTTCAATATCTCCTTAACATGCTCCCAGAAAGGTGAACCAAGAATACTGCCAACAAACCACATTATCAGAAAGTTGTAAGTTCAACTTCAAAATGGGAAAGCCAAAGTGTAATTAAGGAAGCTTTCGGGGTCGGCCAGGAAATGATGCCACCAAATAAAAAAATTTACCTTGCAAGAATGCTGGGAAAGGCCAAGAGATAAGTAGTGGTGAGAACAGGCTGCATTCCTGAAGGGTTAATGGTAAAAGGGATATAGGGCTCCACTTCGGTAATAGGTGAGTCATCTCTGCTCAAAACACAAAAGCCCAGAAAATAGTGTCGGCCAACAGAAATAAAATACAGGCTTCTACTAAGCTTTTAATCGACAATGAGATCAATCTATAAGCAATAACAGCTAAGAAAAACCATCTTTATAATCAACCACACCATGTTTAGAGAGAAGTATGCACTACACAGTCACTTTCTTTAAGAATGATCACAGCCCATCCAAATGGGTTGTATTACCTTACAGCAGAAGCAAGCTTAAAACCATAGTACTGCAGCTTTATCTTCCTGCACCCTTCGGTCACCACAACTGCCCACATAGTGACTATAGTGAAAACGCCCAATACTGCAAATAAGTAAGGCCCCCAACTAACAGAACTTCCTGAAATACATAAAAAAACATGAATCACTAAACTTTAAATCTTCAAGTTAAATGACATCTGACAGAATACTATTGATAGGATGAGTAAAGTTACAGAATTAAATGCATCTGATGGGATATTAATTGTGCCCAACAAAGGGCAAACTAATGGAATTCATTAAATCACATACCTGAGAGCTGAGACAGCATTTTGTATAACGTCTCTGTGTAGCCAGTCAATATTTGTACACAAATAATTAGAGATGAACCTTGACCTGAAATATAAACCACCAGTCAGAGAAGATAGAGAGTATAATCCCATACACAATAAGACAAAAGAATGAACAAACAATTTTTATCGTTGTTTGAAACTTGAAAGTACTTTGGACATTTACAGAAATAAAAAGCGACCTGTTGGAATGATACTATGATCTTAAGACCTCACATATGTAATAACAGTCACCATCGGTGAAAAACGAGTATTCCACAAGGACTCGTGAATGCTTACTATGACAGAAGATGCACAAGGTAGTCAAAACCTCATCAAAGAGGATGAACAGAATTATGTAGTATTAATTCACAGGAAAAACCTTATGAGGTATGGAAACTTTTGAAGCCAAATCTCCTAATTGTGGACATATCTTCTACTACAAGGCATGAGATTTGTGTGGAACAATTGTGTATATATAAAATTAAACTATGTAAAAACTTTTCCTAAATCCAGCATCCAAAAATGATAACCATAGTGACTGGTGAAAATGAAAGTATAATCCTTCTTTGAAAAAAAGGGGCTCGGAAAAAGACAACAGGACAGAATTATGGGGAATATTAGCACAATGTTACAATACCAACCAAGTAATCAACAAATCAAATATAGTACCAAATCCAGATTCTGAGATGGTATCACAAATCCACGTCATTGTCATCGCTCCACAGACCAATAACATACTTGTCACCATCACATGCTTGACCCTGCAAAATTTCATAACATAATCATACTCCCCAATAGATAAATATCATCTTGAAAAGTTCCACCTCATAAATACAGCTTACCAACTAAAACAACCAACAGATCTACGAGTTAAGAGTATCATATAGGGTGAAAAATGTAAATGATAACGAGAACACGAGATTATTATTAAATAGAATAGAAAAAGAACCATGCTAACTGCTAAGGGCATTGTGGAAGAGAGAACCTAAGCAGCTACATCTATAAGAACTTGTGAGTAGACCCAAGATAAATTCGAAACCACAATCATTGTTGAAAATAACAATAGATATGCTGCATTACCTGTAGCTAGCCGCATAGATTGAATATGGAAGCGAATAACAAGCAAGTATGATAGCTTCCACTATTGCAAAGCCAAAAGATAGCCACCATCTTGAATAGACAGAAACATGAAACGTGTTCAAAATCTTGAAAGACAAATCTGGTCTAAAAGTAAGTCACAAACTAATTATGCAACAAGAACTTGGCTCACTGCTTGAGATGAATAACTAGACACACATATAACTCTTAATCTTCTCATGACCATCTAAGCCTTCCTTCCGCAGCTTTACCAGGGAGGGAACAACATGACATAGTACCTGTACATCGATTTTGAGATTTTCAATATATAACTATATTCTATTACATGCCAACTTTCCTCACAAGATTAAGCACATTAAACAGATATCCGTTTACTTTTATTGGTTTCAAATTTGTCTGTTAGGTTAACATAAACCAAACTAGCGGACGGAAAGAATTAAACCTGCATTATGATCGATGCTATGATTTGAGGACTGATTCCAAGCTGAAAGAAAGACATTTTAAGCTCTGCTGCAAAATCGCCAAGTTCATCTGGCAGAAAACAACACGAACAATCATCAGATAACTACAAAAATGACCATACACATGGAGGAAGAACGGTCAATTACTCACCAACAGATCCCGATACAAAGCTTAGGTAATCTTGAGGGATCAACCTTCTATCAAATCCAGGCAGAGGGATAAATAACCAACACGACTGATCACAATTAGCACAGCTGTTACAAACAGCCTCCTCCTAATCTCGCTCTTGAAGAACGACTCAGCAGCATTACTAACCACTGAACTCAGGCGCACGAAATTCAAAAACCGGTTTCTAAACGTCATAGGTCTGGCCTGCTCATCCTTTACATTCTCAACCTTGTTCTGTTTCGAAATTTCCGTCCCGTCACTCCCACTCAACGGATTAACTTCAACCTTTAGAGACTCTGGAGGCGTAGCCTCAACATTTGTATAATCATTTAGGAACTGGTTCGAAAACTTAGCGGAGACTCTTCTGTTCACTCTGGACAATAAGGGCCTGTTTGGCAACATGAAATTTCTAGGGTTTGTCCTAAGGGAAACATAGCAACTATTCCTAACAATTGGCAAACAACAAATTTGAATTTCACAGCCTGAAACTGCACCTGCAAGTAAATGACCAGAAAATCTCCATCAGAAACTTCATCCGAAGCTACAAAATTCAACACGGAAACATTTTCGATACACAGCTACGAGTTACTGGATTAAATTGACTAAGAGACTACTAAACCTAACAATACTCCGAATTTTCCATGATTTTCCATAGTTTTCTCGGGAAACAAACGGGAAACTGACCTCGAGATTTTACGGGCGAGAGTTTGGGATGGAAGCGTTGCGAGCTGAGAAGAGTGGCTTCCATGGCGGGACTGATAGAGCAACACGGAGCAGCGGGACTGTTCAGTTCGGTTAAGCTGGGAAACGGCTCATCTTTAAGGTGGAGGAAATAATCCTCTGCTTTACTCGCTCGTTTTGCATTAGACACGATATTTATTGGCCCATTGTTAGGTCGGCGAAGGTCCATCCATCGTGGCAAGGCATGATTGGGATTAGTGTTCCGAAGCTCAAATTTTAGAGAAATTTTTTAGTGTGACCGTCATACGAGGTGGTACACCACGTATCTCTATATAAATGGTTGGTTATGTGTGTTAAAAGGTTAATAACTTAAAAATTAAAATTTTCCACCACTTACCTAAAAACACGTGGTGTATCACCCGTGTTCCCGTCACAACTAAAAATTTCTCCAAATTTTACTACAATAATGTTTTTTTCTTAAGATCAGTTTAAATTCAAAAGAATTACATATAATTAGGCTAGTTTGGGGTCGGCTTCTTTTAAAATAATTTGGATAATGTCAAACTAGCCTATAAGCAAATACAATTTCTGAAAGCACTTGTATAAAAATGGAAGCATTTAGCTGTTTATTCAAGCTTACAATTACATGATCAAAGATCGATCATTCCACAGAGCTAGCCGTACACATCAATCGTAGAGCTACGAGAGTCTTAGCCTTATACGATGATATAGTTTCTTGTATACGTGTAATAATCGTTGTTCGTATTCGCCATTAGTAAGTCCATTCCTTTGGAAGAAGCAACTCCGGTGAAGAATTCGGATTTTGGGAAATAATGTAGCATTGAGTAGATGAAACATCCTTATTTCCGTTCTTGTTTCGAGCTACCAAGTAGTCTTCACTTTTTCGCTTATGTTCTTTAGAATCTGAAGTTAGAATCCCGAATTTCTTAGCAGCATACAATAAAACAACAAAAGATACCTCAATCAAATTAAGTAAAATATGATATATCAACTCTGCAGGCGGATTCCTGGCAACATTTTTTTTACACACGTTTTTATGTGGCCCACTCCGTAATATATTTTAACGATCCAAAATTACCCAAATATGAAACTATATGACAGTTGGATTTTGAGTTTAGGATTTCTTTATAGAATTGTATTCATCTATTTTTTTCACTACAAATGAATGTCTTAATGTTTTTGGATTTATCTAATATTTTGTAAAGATGATCTATGAATGATATTCTAAAAGATAGACAGTTTAGATCGTTAAAATACATTAAAGTAGGCCATACAAAAACGTGTCAAAAGTTATGTAAAAAAAATGGTGACATGGATCAGCTGCCATCAACTATATATATGTTTGCATGGATCGTATAACTAACCTTGTCGAGGTGAAATTTGCAGGCCTAGTGCATGCACGTTGAGGTTCAGAGCTTGAACCACACGAGAGGGCAGCAGAACGGGAGCACAAGCTGCATGCAAAGCAAGCATTAAAAAGGGTATTTTGATTTTCGTCGTTTGATTTTGGTCATTTGAATACGCTCATTATTCACGTACATACCTTAATCAAAACTAAGAATAATACACCCAAAAAAAATGACCAAATTAAAATCGAATCCGAAATTAGGGTTACCTACCTGGTTTTTTACTTCTGTGGAAGTGGGTGCCTGCTCGTTGTGGAAGAAAAACGCCAGTGCCACATGATTTTTTACTAGAATCCAGGAAGATGGCTTGCATTCCAGGTCCTCCGGATGACCAATTCACATTGACTTTTGGCCTATGATATGGTCTCATCGAGCTAGATTTCGAATCCTGCAATTCGCACGTTATCTTTTAGTCAAACGAATTATATATGTATATACGAGTATACAATAGTGCTACTGCATTCAAGCTCGAGATAGATATTTCGAGCAAAAAACAACACCAAGGGACTTAATTTGTTTAATTAATGACTCGTTTAGAAGTGTTTTTAAAATGGTCGAAAACTCTTTTAGAACCAATGACAGGTGAATCCTTGAAAAACACTGCGTCATGCAATAAACATATAAATGGTACTTCTTGCAGGAAGCACTTTAAGTGCTTTTGGAACGCAAAAGCATTTTCTCTAAAAACACTTTTAGTCATAGTCCCAAACAAGCCCTTATTAATTTCGATACGCTAATTTTGAAATATTTTACTTAATGCCTAAGCCATGTATTGACAATTTTATGAAGAAACCTTCATAGATTCCTTGATCACAACTCTAAATTAATGACTCCCCAAAAACACTGCTTCAACAAAAAATTTCCAACTAAATTTCTTTTTCTAAGATCAAACTATACCTTAAAGTTAATTAGTTGCATTGTTCAAAAAAAAAAAGAGTTAATTAGTTGCAAAAATAAGAGGGACTAAACTAACAATTAAAATGATTAGGTAGACCAGATTCATAAGACCTAAACGTGACAGTTGAGTAATATATTATGTAGTCTCATGAGTAGGTAATCGTTAATTGCCAAAAATTAAAATTAATTAATTAATTTTTTTTAAAAGGTTTGTCCCACAAATATTTTCGTATGGGAAATGTTTTAATTTTTTTTATTTATGAAAAACGACAGACTCATGAATAAATTTCGTTGGAAAATGGTGTTTTTTTTGTAGTGCTAGTAACCAAAATCTTCAAAATCAATCTTCGAAAGTAATCATTTTCAATTCTCTATCAATGGTACCGTTTGACATTCGTGCAAAAACTTTTATTTTGTCAGTTATTAAACCATTTAAGCCTATATGTAAAACCCGTGAATTGCAGGAATGAAACAAGTGACTTGAGCGAATGCAAGAAACTAATAACCAATTCCGTACACGTCAAAACCTACCCGATAACCATTGATGGACAGAAAAGAAAACGAAAGTGATGGCAGAGAGTACGTACCAAATGATCACGGTGGTAGTGGTGGTGTTTTACATGGAGCCTCGAATACGCCTGCAAATTATAAGATAAATCAAATTTTAATAAATTCGGAACAGTGATGGAAACAAAACTTAGAAAATATTAAATTCTGTATTTGGAGCAAAAAGAGATATCGCTCAATAAAACCATTATCGTTTCACCGATCAAAAAGAGAGTAAAAAATACGAGAGAGAGAAACCTTTGTGTCACATATTGCTTCATCCAAAACTTGTGACGGCAGCCACAACATTCCTTCTTCGAAACCAACCTCTCCTTCCTCATGAGCAGCCATGGAAATATACAGACAGAAAAACGAGAGAAAGAGAGACAGAAAGACAGGGTTTTATTTCACTTTAGAGAGAGAGAGAGAGAGAGAAAGGGTTGAGAGTTGTAATTTGAGTTCCAACTTCTAACCTGCAACGCAACTAAATACTCTCTCTCTCTCAGTCCCTCTCTCTCCTCTCGCAGGAAACAGAACCAAATAGGATTCTTTCATGCGGAGAAAATTAAAATTTTAAATTTATTTATTTCTTTTCTCTGTCCTCATCTACAGTATTAAGGATAATATTATGAAGATTAAATTTGTAGACAAAATTTTGAAAATTAAAGGACATGGAAGTTAATAATTTGTTTATTATTTAAACGTCAATAAATGTGTTTATACCTATTGATGACACGTAATTTAATTTGCAAATTTAGTTTTCAAATTTAATATCTCTAACATTACCCAGTATTAAAGCGCGTGTAAATTTGTTTCCTTATCGGATATTAAAAACACACATCGTTATTTGACCTTTGTTTACAACTAGAATTACGGTGGAAATCAGGTTACGTTTTTCCAATTATGTGTGATATGAAATGTTGGATGTTTGGCTTATTTAGAAGTGGTTTTAAAATAATTGAAAATATTTCTAGTAAAAATATTTTTGGAATCAAATATTTAGTAAAAATACTGGTAAATTCTGAAAAAGAACATTTGAATTGCTTCATGCAAGAAGTACATAAGCGGTGCTTTTGAAATCAAAAATATTTTTCTAAAAACGCTTTTAGTCATTTCAAAAGCACTTCAAAACGAACCCAGGATTTCCCTTAATTGCTACTTTTGACATTGCAATCTTTAAAGTGATCGATAATACGTGTTATAACATGACTGAACTAGTAATTTGATAATGCTAAATAACCAAAATGGTCCCTGAGATTTACATAACTCATCACTTTGGTCCCTAACATTTCAAATCAATCAAAGTGGTCCCTGAGATTGTCCACCATCCATCATTTTGGTCATTCCGTTAAAAACTCCGTTAAGTGTCTCGGAGCTCTTAGCCAAAAGTTTGGGCAATTTTCAAAGTTTTGTAACTCAATCGTTTCTTAACCAAATTCGACCCATAATATATCAAAATGAAGATAGGAAAGTGTAGAATAAGATTATACCTATTTGAAAACCCAATGGTTGCCGGAGATGGCTGGAAAATAGCCTCAAAGTTGACTGGTCCGAGGGAAAACTGGAAAATTTGCCGGAAACTGAGTAAACTTTAAACGTTCATAACTTCTTCAATATTCAACAAGATCAAGTGATTCAAAACAAGGTGAGTTAGCCATCTAAAAAGATACCATTCTCTTCATCTCGTCGAGAAGTATGATTTTCGTTTTTGAATCACTTGATTTCGTTGAATATTGAAGAAGTTATGAACGTTTAAAGTTTACCTAGTTTCCGGCGAGTTTTCTAGTTTTCTCTCGGACCAATCAATTTTGAGGCTATTTTTCGGCCATCTTCGGCAACCATTGGGCTTCTAAATGATATAATCTTATTCTATACTTTCCTATCTTCATGTTGATATATTATGGGTCGAATTTGGTTAAGAAACGATTGAGTTACGAAGCTTTGAAAATTGCCCAAACTTCCGGTCAAGAGCTCCAGGACACTTAACGAAGTTTTTAACAGAAGAACCAAAATGATGGATGGTGGACAATCTCAGGGACCACTTTGATTGATTTGAAATGTTATGGACCAAAGTGATAAGTTGTGCAAATCTCAATGACCATTTTGATTATTTACCCATTTAATAATAAGAGCCTTAACTCACTCATGATTGAAATTTTGAAAAGTTACGAGTTTAATTATCTTTATGTAACTGAAGCTTATCAATAGGAATTTACTTTCGTATTAAACTCATGTTGTTGACTGATTTCTTCTTTTAGATTCAAATCCCAAATGATTTTTCTTAGCCTACCACTTTATCCGATGGATCATATAAGTCAAAGTCCAGACGGTCAACCATCCCTTATTTTATTTTTTCAATCAAGTTCAACCATATATCAATTAATCATGGAGTTTGTGAACAAAAAATTTCTGAAATCAACGATCTAAAATTAGAAATGCAAGGGCCTAAAGGTAATTTTGTACTAGGATAAAGGGTCTGGCAAGTATCCAAATATATAAATAATTATTTTTTTTCAAAATAAATGTCAATAATATTGTTCTAGTGGTTTTATCATAATGAGGGGTATTTCGGTAATTTGAGTGTGTACAATGGACGTGGACGTGGAAGTGGGTTGGGTTGGGTTGGGTAAACCCCTCTTCCTATTTGGTCGTTGCAGTTATTTTTCACGTAACGCTCTGATGTTGGCTGGTTGGCTGACCCTGCAGATTTGATTTAGTCCAATTAGTTAGAATAATGTTCTCGTCTCATTGTAGTAGTCTGATTAAAATCTACTTCTCCGTAGATGACTTAAAACTACATCACAAACTAGTTGATTTTTTTAATATCATTTTTTTATGATCAATGTTTAAAATATCGGTATCGATGTAAATATCGATATGTTAATTTGACATCAATTGCCTTCAATAGAAATGATGAAAATTTGCTTAAAACGTGAGAATTTAAAATGAAACTTTAGGGGCAAGTGACCCTCTACCACAATGATGGAGAGGAATGTTGCCCTTGCACTACGGTGTGGATTCGAACTTCGTTGGCTCCTTAATCTAACATATAATTTAACAAATCTATCGTTTGACCCCCAAAGAAAAAAAGAAACTTTAGATAATGTCAAACAATGATTTAAACGAATGAATATAAAAGTTTATCTAATATTTAACTTATATGTCAAAATATCAATAAACCTATCAATTTTATCCACCAAGAGCAAGTCTTCCATTTTTTAATAAGCCATATGTATGAAGATGCAGTGGGGAGGGAGGTGCAAGTGCCCTATTTTTCTTAACCACCTTACCAACGCTACCAAATCAAGTATGGTTTTGGAATGGAGGGTCCCACATTTTGATACATAAGCAAGATGTTAAAAGTTAGGTTTTGCAGGTATCTTCTTAATTGTTCTATGATAATTATTGAGAACCAAGCTTTGGTATGCGTCACTTTGAAAACACATCAAGGTACAATTAAACGTGTGTAATGTAAAAATGGACCAGCTGATTCACAGAAACATTTAGGATGGCAAAAACGGGGACTTTAAATATTTAATTTTAGATCAGTTGGTGTATCCGCCATTTTATACCTAAGTTTGAATCTACCCTTATTAAAATAGTTTGGAATATAGTATTTAAATTAAAAGGGTAAAATTTTGAGTTCAAAGGTTTTAATTGGTATCTATAATTCAGTTTCTTGAAGTGAAAATTTTCTCTTTAATACAACAAGCAATAAGCTCAAATGATTCATTGTACATAATCATCTTATATTAACATTGAATATATGCCATTTTTCCGGCCTTGAGAAAAAACGAACTCCAGACATATATATTGTATGGAATCAAACCCTTATCCTAAGGGAAATTTTATTTAAACCCAAATAACCTCACTTCACACCCAACTTAAATTTTAAATGTGAATGGTCTTTTTTATCTTATTGTATAATTACTATTAAGTACAAGATAAATAAACAATAAAACTAAAAATTATTAATAAACTCACACCCAATAATCAAATATTTGTCATCATGCAACCTTTTGTGAATTCGGGTTCATTAAGCATTATGAGAAGATTAAGAAGATAGTATGACCTTTTTTTGGGTGTCCAGGTATTCAATTTTCCTCTTCCACCTCCTATGTATGGTGATGCCTTGGATAAAGAAGAGTGTTGCTTGAAGAGTGTTCAAGCACTTGACAAAGATGGAAGACTGACACCTCTAGGGAGGGCCATGGCTCATTACCCTATGAGTCCTTGTCACTCTAGGATGTTCACTGTTATTCAAGTCTTAATTAAGAAGAAGAGTTTCAGAGATAATTTAGTGCTAGCATGCGCAGTTGCAGCAGCTGCTGCTTTGAGTTTGTCAAATCCTTTCGTTAGGCAATTTGAAGATAGCCACAAAGAAAGCCACGACTTAAATGAGGATGGGAACATTACAGTTATACAAAAGCTAGAGAAGTTGGGGAGGGATAAACAAAAAGAACAGTGAAAATATTCTGTGAATTTTTTTCTAATCCCAGTAGTGATACTCTATGTGTCGCTTTTGCTTTGTAATGCTATGAACTTGCAAGATCCTAGTGGAATTGGAATTTATCGAGAACAACTTTGTAGGGAAAAGAACATATGCTTTGATTTTGGGGAACTTTAACGAAAAGCACCTGATACTGTTCACTTTAACGAAAAACCACATTTTTACACTAAAAAGTCAATCCTGGTACTATTCACTTTACCCTTTATTTTGTCCTTATCATTAAAACTCAAAGTTTTCAAGCCCTTTTCATTAGTTTTCCTTTGATTTTGGGTTTCTATTTTAAATGGGTGTAGAAATAAATTTGCATATTGAATTGGGTTTGTTAGGATAATTTAGGTAGTCAATTTGGGTTTAAAGAGATATTGATAGTTTAATTACAAATAATTAGGGTGTAGAGAGTAAGTTGGGTGTGAAAATAGGTTATATGGGTTCAAATAAAATTTTCCTTAGCCTAATCATCTCGGGGTTAGGTAGTTATTTTAATATCGTGCACCTTAATACAGATATTATTGCCCATCGCCCTTAAGCGTTGATGATCATCACAATCACATTAATTGCAATTAGACGAGTTCAACTTTCAAAATTTATGTAATGGATAGATTAGATTGCAGTCATCTAACAACAATCAATATAGTAGTGATGCCCGCCACTACTTTGGGGTGGCAAGCAAAAATGTACTTTTTTTTACAATAATTTAGGGGAGGGGGGGATTTCAAACCCAATATACATGAGTAGAAACTCAACACTTTATCCACTAGAATATTGGATGAGAGGATGTTGATATATTTTTTTGTTCAGTAAGAATCCAACCAAATAAAAATGTAGGTCAACTCCAAACCCACGAATCCGGATTCTTTTTGTGAGGATTCCAGGGATCCTTGAATCGTGTTTATTCATCGTACATCGTGCAGTAAGAAATCATTTTAATTTTTGTATTTAAAATTAAATACAAATAGTA